AGGGTTCGAGTATTTTAAGGCTCTGTGTATGAAGCACTTTCCAACCTTAGATGGAGAATTTGATTCTTAGATTGAAGATGATACTAATAATTATATTTTGTTTACGTTTAAAATATTTTAGAATTTTATTTTATTTTCGTTATTGATCCTTTAAATATTGTAATTTTCATACTTAATTTTATCATTTCATAATTTTTTTATTTAAAAATAATATTTTAATTTTAATGTATTATTTATTGTGGTAAAAAATTAGTCAAATTTCATTTTGACCAATTGTTTGGTTAGAAATATTTAACCATTACTTTTGATCAGAGATGATTAACCATTAGTGTTGGTCAGAAATTTTAAGACGCTTTAACCAACTATTGATCAATTTCGTGATCAGAATTGAAAATTTTGTGGTGGTTTTTATTGTTATTTTGTATCTTCAATCTTTTTTCAGGATTTGTATTATGGGCAATTTGCCAATAGTGACTCAAAACTTCATTTTAAATGCAAATGTAGACCCCTTATATCATGTTTGGCAAAAGTAATACAAATGGACAGTGAAATCACCACTTATGACCAAAGAAAAAAAAAAACAGAGACCACAATTACTTTTTTAACCCTCGAGAAGTCTATAATGCATTAGACAAGTCTACTACTAGAGTGGGAGTTTTCGGCTATACCAGATTTTGCCAAAGAATTTGGTGATCCCTTTCTGAATTCCCCAACTCCATGGTTGCCTGCTTTCAAAGGATCTAGAGGCCGAAAAAATTTGAAATCAAATATGTTGAAACAAGTATTTTCATAACTATCTCCAATTCTTAAATTTATTCTTTTTTTTTTGTTTTTCAACGCTTCTTCATTAACTTAAACTTGCATCATACAAGAAGAGAGAATTAAACATCCTCTTAGATTTCCACAACATAAATTAAACGCAATAAAAATTAAAGCAGATAAAGCATCGCGAAGGATGGACAGCGGATCCGAGGAAGGCCTCAAATGCGTCAAGATCGTCTTTATGGCTAAGCCGGAGACTAGTGGTTTAGTCACCGTGAATCGTGACTTTGGAAGATTACCCATACCTCCGAGTTCCCTCATGACAGTTAGGGAATTGATCGGAGTTAAATCCGAGACGAACCTTACTCTCACCAAGAGAAGGAAAGGTGATCGAGTTCTCTACAAAAAGGAGAAAGTTGCAGGATTTGAGAATCCAGAAAACTTTGATCTTCTCTCAGTAGAGAAGATATCCAGTTCACAAATTCTAGGATTTGAGAATCCAGAAAATTTTGACCTACTCACAACAGAGAAGGTATCTAGCTCAAAACACATCCATGATAAAGCCAACATTGTGTTTAATACAATAATCAAAACCCAGAAGAAACTAGAACCTGACCGGATATTGGGTAAGTGATATGGGCCTTCACTTCCATTTTTCTTCGTTGGGCCCATGGAATCCACGTGATGGGCCAAGCCCAGATTGCACACAAGTGCCTTTCTCCAAGAGGTTTGCAAATCTTGACGCTGGCTACGATGGATATGACTGTGAAAGAGGGGTCGGCGCAAAGGAAATCAGGATACAGTGTCGCGGTCATCGGAAGTATGACCCAACCTGTGATGGACGGTGGTGCTGGTGGATCCAAGGATTTATCTCGCCGTAAAGATGTGAAAAATTTGACCGAGACCGTGACCAGAATTTATTCTCTATTTTCTTATTATTGTGTATTGATTAACTCTTCATTTTTTCTTTTGTAGACCAATACAAAGAGCTTTGTGAGGAAGAAAACTATGGTTGAGATGCTCCCTTTCTGGGATGATGATGATGTAAAAGATGCAAAGGTTGAGAACATTTTCAATGTTGTGTTTGATAGAGGCTGGATGTGGGAAAATAGTCACTGGCCAGTTGTTGGTGTTAATGTCTCCAAGAATCTGAATGAAGAATCACGTACTGAGTATAACAAAAGAAGTCGTAGTCTCTAATTTTTTTGATATTTGTCAAAGTCTCTATTAATGTGAAGTCTGAAACAGGTTATGTGAAGTCTGAAATAGGATATGTGAAGTTTGAAAATCTCAGCCTTTACATGCATGGAGAAAGCCGGAAGAGGTCTCGTACTGTTGAAGAAGATTCAGTGTCATTGGTACTGAAACCACAATCACACTATGATGATTGCTTTACGGGCTTTAAAACAAAGATAACAGATGTTTTTAGTAGCTGTGAAAAGAAGATTAAAGGCCCTGTTGTTGATAAGGTGGCAACTATTGAGAAGTCCATAGTGGCTGTGAAAGGTGGAGAGAAAGTGGCTTTGAAAGATGGAGAATAAAAGGAAGTGAATGAGTAGGTCAAATCTAACACTGCTCCACTAACTATAGTTGAGGACAAAGGTGAGAATGGTAATGATGAGAATAATAGCCACCATGGGATTTCTGATGATGTGGTTAGTACAAAATCTTCTCCCAAAAACGAAAATGCTAAAACTCGGAAAATCGAAAGGCTTTGTGAAAACGTTGTAGCAGAAAAGAAATAGTAGTATAATTTGTTTCATGTTGTTTGAAATGTTTACGTTTTAGTTCAAAACTCGTTATTTAATTTTCACTTAAGTTGTTTGCACCTTGTGTTTTAATCGAAAGAAATTTTCACTTTAATTGTGTTCAATTTGTAAATGGTTTTGACTTTTGCATTCCAAAATTGCAAAGTAAATTTGTGAACATGGAAAGTGATGAAGTTCAAAGTCAGAGTGTCAATGGGGCTGAACCAAGTGTTATGATTGTTGGCAGAATAAAACCACAAGTGGATTATGTTTTCTCTCAAAATGTTAAACAAAATCAACAAAAATTGCGACCATGATTTTGGCACGGGCAAATAGTGAAAGGCAAAAAATCTTGCTCCATCACAGGTTTCTCCTTTCGTAGCAAATAAAAATGCTAATCATCATTCCAAAAGAAAAAGGATATATTCCTTTTGAGCCCGTTAATAAGCAAAAGGTTAAGGTACTTGATGATTGGCTGTTAATTGATGCGTAAGTAAAAGATCTCTACTTGCATTACTTTTTTTATCAGCTTAGGTATTCTCTTAGTAATCATAAACTGAATTGTGATGGTATACAACAATTATCCGAAGATAGTGAAGCACATTAGCGGAGAGTGGTTTTGGATTCTACGAACAGAGCAACAATGGCTAAAAGACACGGTATCTGTTTTACTTCTTTAGCAGACTTCCTTAGCAGACTTCTTTAGCAGACTTCCTTAGCAGACCATTATGTTGATAATTATTCTGTTTTGCTGAGTTTTTTTGTGATATTGTTGCAGCACATGGATGTTGCTATTAGTCTACTGAGACTTCGGTTCTCGAAGCATCCGGTATGGTTTAGGAGTGAAAAGATTTGCTTTGTTGATACAATTTAAGCCATGATGTGGACTGCCAAGTACAAGGAAGTCGTTGATTTTCCTGCAAATGAAGATGGTTTTGGTAAACACTTACCCCTTGCAGCGTGAGATTACCATAACGGTTTAGAAACAGCTTATTGCAGATCAAACAAGATGTGGGGGATTGAAGTGGATGATATATACAGCCCATCACACATAAAAGACGATCATTGGTTGGCTTTGTGGATTTCAATTTCAAAGAGATACATTGTTGTCTGAGATAGTATTCTTGAAACACGCAAATGATGAGGAAATTTCCAAGGCAGTGGAGCCTATATCTGTCATATTGCCTTATCTCCTCCGTGAGGCATGTTTAGCAGAGGAAAGACACAAGTATCCATATGATCCATTCACACATGGGCGGGTTAAAGGAGGTAGAATAGCACAAACCGTGCAAAGTGGTGATTGTGGAGTGTATTGTATGAAGTATATTGAATGCCAAGCTCTCGGCATTCCATTTACTTCGATCTTGTGTGATGCCAACATCTTTGCTTTTAGGGAGAATCTTGTCGCTGAGATATTCGACGAGACTAACATACGTGGTATGGAACTACGCACGTTTAACTCGTTGAACCAATATGACTGATATTGGTCCACCAAGTTATATGCTTTTGTATTCCCGCTTAACTTTTAGGATTCTTGCATATATCTAGTAGATGTAAGAAAAACCCATATCCTTTAATTTTTGCTACTATTGCGGGATGTAACTCGGGTAACTCTGATATTGTATGGCTAATGCCATATCTTAGAATACATATGATATTCTATGAAGTTTTTGCACTGTACGTTAAAAATTTTGATGATAAAATTCTTTAATTCGATTTCTATGATAGAAAATAACCAAGTTTTTTTTGCAAATGCAATCCATAAAAAAAAATTTAAACTTTTAATACCATGTTCAAACAAGATTAGAAATTTGGACAAGCTTAAAACATTGTATTCGGATGATATATTTGGAACTTTGTATCTTCTCTAGTAGACTTTGCATGCAGACCTCAGTGGTAGACTTCCATATCGATCCAAAAAAAACCATTCTTTATTCAAGAATACATTGTGTTCAAACAAGACAATACAAACCAAAACAAACATGGTATAACAGGATATAGTTCTAGTCAGTGACAAGATGATATTAAGTAACACAATTTGGCCGAATATGTCCTCTTTGCTTGCATTTTGAACAGTTGTATTGATTGTGAATCTTTCGCAGTTTTGTACCTTTCATCTTTGCGATGTAAGGAGGGAGACATGACACTGCTTCACGTCCTTTTAAGGCGTAATTGATGGGATAAATTTTTTTGCGAGTATGCAGCATATATAATGCTTCACGTAGGATGGGCAACAGCCGTAGACGCATGTTGACCAGTCGATATCAACGCATCAATAACATGCAAGAAAGGTATCTTCTCAATATAAAATACACCAGATGAACACTTTTTATGTTCCAAATCAACAAGACAATCCTGTGCTCCTCCCTTCACATAAAATTTCTAATCATCGATTTTTTCCACCGTCATTGCAGACGTGTAATAGTCACGAATAGCCAACAAATATTCAACTTCTTGACTATGGTGTGTTGTTAGATTCATAGCATCTTCTCGCCACTTAGAAAACCACCTTCTTAACTTCTCTCAGATAAATTCCAAAAGGAATGATATAGAAAATTCTCGAGCTACTTTAAGTGCGGCATTGATAGATTCGGCAATATTGCTCGTCTTTATGTTCTCCCTCGAAGTGAACTCGAGACCATAGCTTGGGATTTGTGTCCTCCAAATATGTCGCAAGTTCGGGCTTTACGCTGTGAATCGCATCCATGTATCTGTCATAATCTTCAAGCGTATACGCATAAGCAGCGCCTTTGACCAAGTACATTAGATGTTTCCTCTTATATTTGGTGACAATGTTACACTGAAGATGAAAGTAACATATAACTCGTGTTGCCCAAGGGAAAATTGTGTCGCACGCCTTAGACCC